TGTTGTTGGCTAGTGACAAGTTGTGCTAATTGACGAGTGATGGCGTCAAATTGAGTTGGGTCCATGGTCAGGTTACGAGAACTAGATGTGACAAGGCGACCACTTCGCAATTGCATGTAATGTACTACCAGCTAAATGAAGTGTATAGAGAGATCAATGAGCAACTCGTTTAAAATAAAATAAAATAAAGATGACCTGATAAAAAAAATTAATTTTTTTTTATTTTTGGGATTATGTAAATCCAAATAGGGTAAGCTAATACCGCTAATCTATGTAAAATAGTAAAGCAAATGTCAAATGCGAATCAGCAATTTAGTCACGTAAAGTAATAAGAATATAATACGATTAGGACTTAAAATAAATAGGATAAAATGGGCAAATAACACGAATATGGATTTAATGACGTGAAGTTGTAGGAAAAATTGGAATAGCAATACAAAAATTGAATTGATGTAATTGATGAAACAGTAATATAAACTAAAGATAAATGAATAATAGCGTCTCTGTTGTTCGGCGAAGGGAATGAGCACCAAAGAAATGAGCACCAAGTAAAAATCTCCAAGTACAAAGAAGCAGTATCTCCCGTTTTGTTTGCGGAAGTAACTATACCAATCAACAGATAAAAAAGAGATGCACATACAAAATGTGAGAAAATACTCTTTTTTTTTTGTTGCGCTTGCCCCTTTTTTTCTTCAACTAAAATAAATTACACAGTATAATAAAATAGGGGCACAAATCAAGGCCAAGAGGCAAGACGAACAAGACACAAACTGATGCCCAATTGACAAAAATACCTTTTTTTTTTTTACCACTAAAACAATTGAATGAGTAGGCCCAACTTTAAACTAAAACAAATTAACTAACAGGGGCCCAAATTGAAAAGAAATACCAAGGCTCAAAAAGTAGGCCCAACTTAAAAGAATTACCCAGTAAAGAAAGCGCAGCCCACTTCACTCCAACTAAGGGCTCGACACAGGAGCGCAACCTGATATGTGCTTTTGGGTCGGCGTGAGAGAATGGGTGGTGGCATCGCGCGAGAGCTGCAGGTGCGGTTTCTGACGAATATGGGTGGTTGATGATTGTTGATTGGTGGTTTTGCGGTGGTGGGGTGGTGGTTTGGCGAGGGTAGTTTCTGGGTTTATGGGTGGGCTTGATTTTATTTTATGTTTTGTTTGGTGGCGTCGCCGGGTACTGCCGTTGGCGACTGTGGGGCTATTTGTGGGTCTGTTGAGGGCGGTAAGTGCGAGTGGGACTGTGAAGGAGGTTGACTGTGGTGGTGGGAGATAGGGGTGACGGCATTTTGGTCGATTTTATTGAAACTGGGTATTTTGCAATTTGGGTTGGAGTAGTGGTTTGCGCGGAAGCTATGGGTAGTTTCAATTGTCGAGTTGTAAACAAACCGAAGTTTGCTCTTATACCAATTTGATGTAGAATGAGAAAGAAGAAGATGAGGAGTAAGGAGAAGAAGCTGAGAAGAAGAAAGAGAGGAAGTCGAGAAGAGGAAGAAAACGTGCAAAGCCAAACTCAAATTTTATTCAATTATCAACTGTCTAAACTGTAATGTAAAATCATCTGTCTAAACTGTAATGTAAAACTGTTTAAATAGCGAAAATCTATGTAATTGACGTGTTTGGACTATCCCACTAATACAAGCCCAATAAAATTAAAATTAGAAGACATAAATAAATAAGGTCTAATAACAATAAAAGTACTCCTGATGACAATGAAATAAATCCCGATGATCCAATGATATCCGCATCAAAAAGTTCATCTAGAATTTAGGGCAGAGAAGAAAAGTATATTTCTTATTAATTCACGAATAGCAGTACAGCCTTTTATACTATTTTACGATGGACAGACTTGGGAAATATCCTTAAAGGCTAAAGATACAATCAGTCTAACTAGGAAAGAAATAAACTATATTTACATCAAATATACACTTAGCAAAAATAGAATGATCTGACCAAATCAAGGAGATTTGTTCAAAGACTCGAAATCTTCCAACACTCCCCCTCAAGCTGGTCTAAATATGTCTTCCATGGCCAGCTTGCACACCATATTTTCGAACTGCTTTCTAGGCAATCCTTTTGTGAGAATGTCGCCACTTGTCCACTTGTAGGAATATAAGGCATGCATATTACTCCAGCGTCTAATTTTTCTTTAATAAAGTGCTTATCGACTTCAACATGCTTTGTTCGATCATGTAACACTGGATTATGTGATATTGAAATAGCAGCCTTGTTGTCCCAGTACAACTTCATTGGTAGTGGATTGGTAATTTTCAGTTCTTCTAGGATCCTTTTAATCCAAAGGACTTCACAAATTCCTAGGGCAATAGCTCTGTACTCTGCCTCAGCACTACTTCTAGCCACCACTGCCTGTTTTTTGCTTCGCCAAGTTACTAAATTTCCTCCCACAAAGGTACAATACCCTGAAGTAGATCTTCGATCAGTTACACTACCAGCCCAATCTGCATCTGTATAGGCCTCCACTTGTAAATGCCCTGTTTTCTTGAATAATAGTCCCTTTCCAGGTGATCCTTTTAGATACTTTAGGATTCTAGATACCGCTTCAAAGTGTTCTTTACCTGGAGCATGCATTTACTGACTCACAAGACTCACTGCAAATGCTATATCAGGTCGCGTGTGAGAGAAGTAAATTAGGCGTCCCACAAGACGCGGGTACAATTCCACGTCTATTATCTCTTCAACTTTAGCAGGAAGAAGCTTCTGGTTAGGTTCTAAGGGAGTCTCGGCAGCTTTACAACCAAGTAAACCAGTTTCACTATGCAAGTCTAGGACATACTTGCGTTGTGACACAAGAATACCACCTTTTGATCTAGCAAACTCCATGCCCAAGAAGTATTTCAACTCACTTAGATCTTTAATTTCAAATTCAAAAGCAAGAACTTTCTTTAAGTTGCCAATCTCTAATACATCATCCCCTGTCAGTAAAATGTCATCAACATAAACAATCAAGACAGATATTTTTCCTTCCTCAGAGTGTTTATAGAACATGGTATGATCTGCTTGACTTTGGGTATATCCATAACTTCTTACAACACTCCTGAAACGCTCAAACCATGCTCTTGGCGATTGCTTGAGGCCATATAAAGTCCTTTTTAGTTTACAGACCTTACCTTTTGCCAAGTTCCTCCTCAAATCCGGGCGGCAGCTCCATAAACACTTCCTCTTCTAATTTCCCGTTAACGAATGCATTTTTTACATCTAATTGATGTAAACTCCAGTCAAGCTGTACTGCAAGGGATAACAAAATACGAATTGAATTTATTTTGGCAACATGGGCAAAGGTTTCTTGGTAGTCAATGCCCTGTGTTTGAGTAAACCCTCTTGCTACCAATCTTGCTTTAAGTCTCTCTATACTCCCATCAGGCCTACATTTGACAGTAAACACCCATTTACAACTTACAGGCTTTTTATCATTCGGCAACTCACTAACCTCCCAAGTCTCATTCCTTTTAAGAGCATTCATCTCCTCAAGAACCGCCAACTTCCAGTCTGGATTACCTAAGGCTTGTTCAATGTGTTCAGGAATTAGAATCTTAGACAGGTTTGTGGTAAAAGCTCTATATTTGCTGGATAGCTTTTAGTAGGACACATAATTAGAGATAGGATGATTTATGCAGGTGTGAGTTCCTTTCCTAAGGGCTATAGGTAGATCTAAGTCTGGAAGAGATGGATCAGAAGGCAAAGAAATAGAAGTAGAAATATTACCTGGTTTATGTTGGACTTCGGTTCCTGGACTTGATGATTGGTGTTGTGCCATATCTGTAGGTAGATCTTTACTATTATGATTGTATCTCTTGCGAGTGTACACACGTAGTTCAGGCTGTGACAGTATTCCTCCCCCTGCATTTGATTCTTCTAAGTTTGACTCATGTAGGTCAGATTTTTCCATATTTTTCTCATTTAAAACACTTATGTCCTGACTAGGTGTTGAACTAGGAAAAAACAGATTAGGCATAGGCGTCAACATGTGCCAAAATTGGTCTTCACTCACTGTTTTCTCTCCCTGAAGAGAATTTTAGGCAAAATAAAGTTGATGTTCAAGGAACTGGACACCCATACTTACATAAGTTTTTCGAGTTTGAGGATTAAAACACTTGTAGCCCTTTTTGTTAGAGGCATAGCCTAAAAACACATCCAATTTGGAGCAAGAATATGCACAAACACTGTGCAGCCGAATACCTTTAAAGGAAGATTGGGAGTTATCCTATTAAAAGGAAAAAAATTCCTTAAAATAGGCTAAGGGTGCTTTATAGTTGAGAACACGAGTTGGCATCCTATTGATCAAATAACAGGCTGTTAAAATTGCATCACCCCAAAGATATTTTGGAACATTCATTGAAAACATAATTGCCCTACTTACCTCAAGTAAGTGACGATTTTTTCTCTCCGCAATACCTTTTTGTTGTGGAGTGTCACGACAAGTGGAAGTATGAGTAATCCCTTTTTTATTTAAAAAACTCCCTAAGTACATATTGAAGTATTCAATCCCATTATCAGTGTGAAGCAAACTTATTTTGGTTTGAAATTGATTTTCAACCATATTATAGAAATCCTTAAATAATTTTGCAACCTCAGATTTTTGATGCATCATATAAACCCAATAAAGACGTGTGATCATCGATAAAAGTGACAAACCATTTTTTTCGGGTTAAAGTTGTGATTTTAGAAGGACCCCACACATCACTATGGATCAAGTAAAAAGGCTTAGAAGCACGATAACCAATAGTTTTATAAGAAACACGATGACTTTTTGCAAGATAACAACTCTCACAATGAAAAGTAGTACAATCGATATTTTTAAATAAACTTGGAAATAGATGTTTTAAATAAGAAAAACTAGGATGCCCTAGTCTAAGGTGCCAAAGCATTATTTGATCTCTAACGGGGATTGAACTAATACTACTAGTCAAGCCTTGAGCTTGTTTATTACTGCAGAGATGACCATCAAAATAGTAAAGACTTTCCAGCAAACTAGCACTGCCAATCATCTTCCCCAAGCTCCGGTCCTAGAATTCACGAGAAGAATTGAAGAAGGTAACACGACAGTTAGAATCCTTTGCCAATTTACTAACTGAGATAAGATTACAAGAGAGTTTAGGTACATGTAACACATTTTTTAATTCAATGTTATCAGATAATTTGATGGTTCCTTTCCCGGCTATGGAAGATAAGCTTCCATCAGCAATTCGAACCTTTTTATTACCTGGACAGGGTGAGTATGGATGGAACAAGTTTGATATACTAGTCATGTGATCGGAAGCACCTGAATCTATGATCCAAGGTATAGAATTTAAGTGACTAAAGAGGGCTTGAGAGATACTACCTGTCTGAGCAAGGGAAGCACTAGATTGGCTAGGAATTGGACTGGAAGTCAGCAGCTTAATGAGGCGATCCATTTGCTCCTTGTTAAGACTTTTCTCCAAACTCTCCACTTCATTGGCAGTAGAAATTGCTCGATTGTTCTTGTCACCACCCTTGTTGCTCTTCCAATCTGCTGGCTTGCCATGAAGTTTCTAGCAATTCTCACGAGTGTGTCGTGGTTTGTTACAGTAATCACACCACACACGAGGCTTTGTGGAGAAAGATCGATCAACATTAAGATCAGCAACGAGAGCAGATTTTTCAACTGTACCACCAGAAGGCTTCTTTCCCAACATCACCCCTCGGCGGCTCTCATCCCTCCTGACCTCCGAAAACACCTCTTCAAAAGTAGGAAGAGGTTTCCTACCAACAATTCGGCCCCTAACTTCATCAAATTCAACATTAAGGCCAGCAAGAAATTTAAAGAGTCTCCCTTTCTCCACGGTTTGTTTGTAGTGTTTAAAATCATCTGTACTCTTCCACTCATAATCATTGAACAGATCCAGATCTTGCCACAATCTCTTAAGAGCACTGAAATAGCGAGTCCCGCTATTCTCCCCTTGGCGAATTTCGCCTAGCATCAATTCCAACTCAAAGACTTGGGACTGATTTTCAAAGTCAGAATACATCTGACAAACATTGTCCCAGAGCTCCTTTGCCGTAGAGAAGCACATAAAGTTGGCACCTATTTCTTCTTCCATAGAGTTCACCAACCAAGCCATCACCATTGAGTTTTCTGCATCCTAGGCACTGTAAGCAGGATCAAAAGTATCGGGTGCCTTAGTCTCTCCAGTTAAGTAACCAATCTTACTCTGTCCACGAATATACAACCGAACCGATTGAGACCACCTCAAGAAATTTCCCTCGTTCAACCTAATAGTTGTAATCTAGACAGAATGGTTGGATTCTGTATGGGTAAATTTAGGTTCAAAGGTTTTGGTACCTTGTTCAGACATATTGGAAAGAGGGGCTAGGAGTCAAACAACCAGAGAAATAAACGGAACGGTAGCAAACAAAAAATCGGAGAAGACAATATTCAAAGGACCTATTAGTGCTCTGATACCATCTAGAATTTAGGGCAGAGAAGAAAAGTATATTTCTTATTAATTCACGAATAGTAGTATCAGCCTTTTATACTATTTTACAATAGACAGACTTGGGAAATATCCTTAAATGCTAAAGATACAATCAATCTAACTAGGAAAGAAATAAACTATATTTACATCAAATATACACTTAGCAAAAATAGAATGATCCGACCAAATCAAGGAGATTTGGTCAAAGACTCGAAATCTTCCAACAGTTCACTTATTCTACAATAACATTTTTTCTTACTGTTAAAATAAATAACATACTTCTAGTTTTGATCAATAAAATTATTTTAAAAATCGCTTATTTATTTAGTTATGTACAATATAAAAAGTTTCTATTTCAAAATTAATAGCAAAGGTATAAAGAGAAGATATAACCACTCTTAGCATGCTTGGAACGTAAAATTCGAAAACAATGAATAACACTGGACAATATTAAGAAATATAAATAGAAAAAATAAAAATCTTATTTCACTATGCTCAAAAATTTCCCCAATCAAAACTTTGGAAGTTAGAGCATTCTCTTTCCATCATAGGACCACAACAGATGACAATCTATCATTACAATGGAATGTCAAAAATTTTAAATATTGGTATAATGCGTACGTGTTAAGACCGAACACCCAAATGAACAGCACCAATTTCATATTAAGATCTTTTCTTGTAACCGACAACCAAGAGATGGTTTTCGGGAGAGATGCTACAAGGAACATACTTGACGAGCTGAGATTCTAGTCCTTGTGCCTTCACCCACATCAACCTACCCATATCGATGATATCCTTGCACATGAAACCCAACACCGCCCTATCAATTGGCTGCATATCTCTCACTATTTCTCCAACTCCACGTACTTCTGAGTCTAAACCAAACTCTTTCATCTCGCTCCTAAGACAGGTTCAAGTAATGAGAAAAAAAATATGAGAGAGATGATTTCCTACTGAGAAGTTGTGTATAAATAAAGCACAGTTTTCAATTTCCTCAGGATTTCTCGTACAGAAATACAAAGAATTCCCTTAGAACAAGTGTGATCCAAAATGGAAGAATAAGAATGAATGTTGTAACATACATGATCTCATGTCGTGTCATGAATTCTGTGCTCGAGAAATTTGATCCATGATCTGCATCAACTGCCCAGCTGGTCAACCATGAAATCGCATGAAAATCTTCCTTTGTGAAACCCAAATCTGATACGTATCTCTTATCTGCAGGATATGATGGTTTGCATGTCACCACTTGAGGATACTTCAAAACAGAGAAAATAGACGAAAGAATTACTTATATAGTTTTTCCACTGGCACAGGTGATGGCAGCATGTAGCTATCGCTAAGCCTCTAAAGTAACAACAGTCTTGGGCTTCAGCAGCAATAACTTGACAGCATTGTTCACGAACGCAACATCTTAAGGTCATATCTGGAGACAAAATACTAGATGTTTAATATGCCAATAGAATGGTAATTACATGCAGGTATTACCTTTCAAAAAAAACAAATAAAAGTCAGGACATGTGGATATTCTGTACCTGTTGCAGGCCCACAAAGATGTTTACCAATTGCGATATAGGCGACTCCTTGTAGAGGCTCAACCCCATTCAAGTTCAGATCCTCAACTGCATTGATTAAAGGCCTTATTGTCATCAAAATGTGTTAGGGAAATCAATTAAACAAAAGGGGCAGTATTATAAAGGGCTAATCAGATGTTCCTCTTAGTTTTTTTTTTTTAAATAGTTTGTTGAAGTGAAAAATTGTGCATAAAACATATGTTGCTTTGTTCTACATTTTGTTCAAAAGCCAAGTATGGACTCTCAAGAGATTTGTCCAAATCTAAATATAAAGTTTTCCATCCAAACACTTCTCAAACAATATGGAAAACTTCTAAGACATTCAATTATTTGATTAAGCACGCTGCGTGAAAAATAATTGTAATAATAAATCATTGTGTATGCTGGCAGAAGATATATTTAACTTTGCGTCCAAGATACTATTTTTTTCATGCCCAAGTAAATGACGGCCTTTCATTGTGTTGGTATTGACCAACGAAATTTGGGTATTAAGCTAGACTACGGTTCTAAAATGTGCCATGACAAAGAACTATTTTGGTCATATTCTCAAGTGAAAGCTGGTGAACCATTGCAAACCGATTAGAAATACAAGGGATATAAAATGCATGTGAAAAGTGAAGGAAAATAATTCTTCCACACTTACCAAAAAACATCTACCAACAAATAGAGTAGGCTTGCCTATAGATTTTAATGCACCATTCCCGTAAAATTTAGAACAATCCTTTTATTTGCTGCATAAGAGTTTGTGTGCAACAACCCGAGCCTCTATGCCAATTAATACCAAGATTCAACTTAAATCTCTTTTAAGTAGAGGTCATGTGTTCGAATCTTGGGAACACGATAGAAATCCGTGAAGGTTAAGATGGGTTTAGACTCTCCCAGAGTGAACAGTATGTAAAAAAACAGCCGAGCAAGAGGCCCGGGTCTTTACACTGTGAATGTTAGGTCGAAACTCATATGTATACCATACTCCAAAAAAGAGTGGCAAAACTATGTGATGGCTATAATTTGGAACTAATACCAAGTTTAAGAACATAGTCAGCTGAGGTATGCAAGTTAGTCTAACAAAATTCACTAAATTAAGTAATGAAAGAATTTCTTTGGATAATACCGACAACTTTAACTAAACCGAGTCCAGAGACAACACCAAGTCTCCATCCCCTCATTTGTCTGTTTTCTCACCTTAAATCTCTTATTATTTATCACCTGTATTATACTCTCTCATCCCCTCTTGTTAAAGTTGTAATTAGCCTGTTAAAAATGCTATTATTAATATAATTTGTCCAACCAATTTGCATCCTAGACTAGAAGTTCAGAGGTGAGGGATCTATGGAGCTTTATGTTCAAATATTATTTTCAGCCATTGCAAAATTTAATTTCGTTAACAGATTATGAGCTACTTATAGAAAGAAAGAGATTATGAGTTTCAAAAAGTTTTTCGCATTGCTTATAACATTGCAAAACAGACAACCTTGAGTTAATTGATCCATTTAGAAAAAAGTTGGGATAATACACCTTATTTTCTAAGTGTTTGGGGCTACTTCTTTTTTTTTTAATAACCGTAGATGTCCGGGCCAACTTGCGTGCACCTCAACTAATCTCACGAGGCCCTGAAGTTTACGGTCGGGTACTCACCTCAGTGGCCTTGAGGGGATTCGACCTGGTGACCATTGGAGAGTAAACCCAAAACCTGACCAATTGAGCAACCTCTCAAGGTTGTGTTTGGGGCTACTTATAAGCTACTCATAGAAAGAAAGAGCTTGCAAGCACTTTATGTTATTCATCTAGTGTATGAGTTATAAGCATTTAAAAAGTGTTTGGCATTACTTATAACATTACAAAACAGACAACTTTAGATATAATTGATCCATTTAGAAAAAGTTGGGACAAAGCACCTTATTTTCTAAAAATTTGTTAGACAAGCTTAAAGATTTTATTAATCTTTAGAGGATACCATAACTTATTTTTAATGTGGTTATAAGCACCTTGTTATTAGGCAATACCAAATGAATTTTAAGTCATGTGGCCCAAAAAGAAGAGAAAACAGGGGATCTCTTACCCGCCCACATAATCCTTGAGGACTAATGAGTATATTACGTATTACTGGACTAGATAGAAGCTATAAACTGATTTGTCATTCACATGCTGTGAGCATACGTTAAAAAGAACCTAAAGCAAAAGAAATAACAGGATATCTTTCAAGCACAGGATTTTGGAAAACCTTACTGTCAATTCTCAATCGCTCTAATGTCAAGCCCTCTTTCTGTCGCAAACTCCGATCAGCCTAGAAGTAGCATTAAACAATGCCAAACAAATTAAAAGTACCATTTATTAGAATTAAAGAACTAACAGAACTAAAGAACAACATCCATTACAACTTTCCTTTCCCAAGAGTGAAGTGCAAATTACTTGATATCCAGCACATCCAAATTAGACCGATAAACATAGGAAATATTTTGCCTCAGAAGAATGCACATTTTGAGTCAAGATGAACTGACCTTCAGCTTATATGCCTTTCGCTCCACCAATAACACCTTGCTGATCCCATAGCAATCTGCGAGCATTTGAGTCAAGTACCCCCTTCCAGCTCCAAATTCAACCACTGCAGGAACATCACTATCATTCTCACACGCTCCATTGGAATCACAATGTTTCATTGCTACATTAGAACTCGCACAAGATTTTTTCAACACCCCAAAATCTTCTAAATTCCCAAGAATAGATGCCTGTTGTAAAACATGTCTCTCTTGATAAGGTAACTTCCTGAAATCAACCAATACTTATATCAGTAGCCATAAAATAACAATCAACAAACAGGAAAAAGTGTTAAGATGTGGAATTTCTAAATACTTGTCAACTTGTCGATTTGTCCAAATGCTACAAGCCTCCGGGATCCTGAAAGAATCTTGAATGTCATTGCATATAGATGCATGTACGCTCTTGATTTTAGCTATCAATTTGGAGAACTCAGGCACACTCATGGCATAGACAGCATTTCTTTTCATCTCAGAAGTAACAGAAGAATTTTTAACACCACTAGACTTGGGAGTTTCCTCCTCATCCTCCTCTCCACCGGCATTAACGCCCTTTTGGTAGTACGGCTGACTTAATAGAGATTGAGTTTGTTTCAGTAATGGGCATCTATTTAGGTGACCTTGAATATTTTCCTCCAGCACAGAGCTATTACACAACGAAATGCTCAAACAAATAAATTAAAACAGAAGGTACATGATAAAGATTGAATGTGCAGGCAAGAAGCAAGAAGGGAGAGATTACTGAGTAGGATCAATTGGGCACGGGATCCACTGTCCATCAGACCTCTGGGTGTGATTCCCGCAGAATCTAAGCCGGTAAAATCAAGAACAACAATTCATAAATTATAATTAATTCAAGATAAAATCTATTTGTGTAAGAGAGAGAGTGCTTACGAGGAATTATTAAGAGGTGAAACTGCACAAAATCTCTTCTTCTTAGGGAGCCAAAACTTGCAGTGGCTTGCCATGTTTGCTATTCTCTCTGTCTTATGCTTTAAACCCTAGAACCGGTTTGTTTCCGCTCCATGGTTCCTTGTTCTTTGTTTTTCATCCGGTAAAGAACCTGGCCCGTTGTAGACTAGTGTTGGGATCGGCTCCATCTCATTACGATTCCTAGGTTGGAGTAATAAGAACATCACGTCGAGGGAATGCATTTTGAGGAATAATAAGGCCCTTTTCATTTTATTTATTTTTTTATTTTATTTTTTTACGTAGGAGGCCGCAGTCGCTACCCATTGGTGGAGTCCCGACCACCTCGAAAGGACGGAGGCCCGACCACTGTTAGTGTGCACTAGGTAAACCCCGCTCCATGTGCAGTAACTCGCAAACTACATGAGAGGTAAACCACACTAGGCAAGCTCGGTGCGACGGGCTCGACCGAGATAACAATAAGGCCGTTTTTAAACTTATGAATTGGGTCGTCATATGATATTGATCCAATATTATCATAAAAAGTTTAGCATGTCTGAACGCCAATAAATTTTAATTGAGATAGTTGAAACTCGATTCGACAATCACTCACCAACTTTCGTTTTAATCATACATACATCTTTACTTCCAGCGGCAGATCCAACACCCTGCGAGGGGGCGCGACCACGCGTGTTGGGCTCCGCCGGAACAAAGACCAGGAGAAGGAAGAAGGAGACCGACGACTGGTAATGGCGAGGTTTAGCTTCCTCTTTTTTTTAGTTGGGCCTTTTGTTTGGGCGTATTCACGACTTGTGGGCCTTTGTTTTTTAATGAGAAAATTAAGCAAATCCCTACATTTTAACTATACTGTTCAAATATTAGATCTTAAACTTTTATTTTCATAAATTAGGTGTTAATTAAAATTTTAATAATATCAAATATATGAATTTGTTAATAAATATTCATTATAAGCCCTCTCTCTCCTCTCTCTCTCTCTCTCTCCACTCCCCCGTTCATCCCAACCCCAAAATCAAAATCACAGAAAACCCTATTCCATTTCTCAACCTTTTCTCTCTATCACCCACCCCTCTATATTTTGGAGCCGCAGCGACGACTCGCATCGTACACTGAGGCACCGCTACTTGTGGTGCAGCAGCAGCGCACCACTGTGAGAAGTGGGGCCACAAGGCCTAATCGCGGCGAAGTGTAGTTTCGAAACTCTGTAGAGTTAAAGACGACCAACAAAGTATATATCATGTTTAGTTCGATTATTCCACTAGTTCTTCCATAGTTGATGATGATTTAAATGATATCATTTCGGATGCATCGGCTTTGTCTAATTCTTTTGGAAGACACGCTGGTGGTAGTGGTGAAGTCATTGTGAGTTTGGCAATAAAAAGGCAAAGCCATAAGTCTTTCTCCTCTTCTTCTTCTTCTTTTTTAAGTTTTGATGTTATTTTTTATTTATGAGTTATAACTATCTTACTTATGAATCATGATTTATGTTCTATGAGTTAATTGGTAATTTGACATTGAAATGAGAATTCACCAAATCAGAAATTTCCTATCATGCCATTTGATGCGGCTGTTGGGAGACCAGTAAGATGAAATCCACTATCCACCAAATCCACCAGCGTGTGGGCTCTGGCGCGCCGGACCACCATTACCAATAAGGCTCACCGCCTCTCCATCACATGGACCGTCGCAGATCTACCCCCACGGACTGCCATAGCCAAGCATCGCACGCGAGCACCGCTTATCTGCTATTCGTTCCCTGTTGTTGCTCTCTGCGACGTGAGCGCTGTGGCGACGTGAGTGCCGGGAGATGTTGCCTGTGGTGAGGTGTGTGGCAAAGAGAGAAGGGATGAAAAAGAAGAGCGAAAGAGAGAGAATAGACGAAAGAGGGAGGACGGTTTGGGTTTAGGATTGAAATCTGGTGGGGGTAGGTGGTATGGTGGGTATATAAATTTAATTTAATTTTAAATATCATTATTAATATTAATTGTGAAATTAAAACCTAGTTTTTGATTAAATAAAGTTAAAATGTGATTTTTAAAAAAGGGTAATTGGCTCAAAACGTCCCTACGTTTGACGGTTTTTATGGAAAACATCCCTACGTTTCATTTTTTGGCGCAAAACGTCCATACCTTTACCATTTCTTGCGCAAAACATCTTTTTCATCTATTTTTAACCATTTTACCATTCTATTAAAATAGAACAAAAACAAAAGAAAAGAAAAATACATAACAAATTGCAATTATGGGTCCAAACTTTTAAAAATGTGCAAATCAATCACAAACACTAAAAAATCAATCACCCCCTCAGCCACTTTTCCTCCACAGAACGGTCAGCCCCTTCCACCATTAATTCCGACCTCGACGATGCCACTCAAGGTCGCGGACCACCACGCCTAGCGTCTCCCCACCATGGCGCACCCACCGAACATATCAGTCTTGACTAA